AGAAAATGTATGTTGTGTATGCATTGGCATTGATTACTTCTCGTTCTATGTTTATACATATGTGTACTTATAAGAATGATTTTAGGCCTTATTTCTACTTATGGTTTAGTTGAGCGAGAGTGCGTAAGCATATATGCAACCTTAAGGTTTACGAAAACAAGGTATATGTCTAATGGGTCCATGTGCATGTATGAGACATGTGAAGTGAAGTATCACAGATCCAAACCCATCCGAGAATGAAATTTGAACCTAAGACTATAAACCTTCTCGGTGGCTCGATCATAAAAACTTCATACTTTGTTTGGAGCAATCCTATGTTCGGTGACCTTATGAGAATTTTTCAGAGATGCACGTAAGTGAAGATAAAACATATTGGAAAGACTGTGCATTCTTAGAAGTGAAAAGTAAGTAACATGATTACGTCGAATAGATTTCAAAATGTCATTATCATATAATTTGAATTTCGTTTCATTTTTAAATAGTCGGAAATAATCAAATTATCGATTCATATATTTACTTTTATTTTTGAGTCGTAAACGAGTTAAAAGTATGAGTGGGTAAAAGGTCGTAGTCTCAATTATTTTCCTTTTGTTAATAATTTCGCTTGGGATTCTTTTTGCTTAGCTCATCATTACATAATTTGAAAGTAAAAAACAAAATTCAAACACCCCTTCTCCATTATTCAACTTTTTATTTTTATTTTTATTTTAATTTAAATAAATTTTAAGTGGGTCGAAATGGTGACCCGAACAACCCCGATAGAATTCATAAGGGTTGAGTTGAGTTGAGTTGTTCGATCTGAATCTGATACTTTATGGTCTAGACATTCTTCCTACGTCTCGTGCTGCATGACTATCTTTTCTTATGACATAACTATGTTACATTTTTTCTTGAACTGCTTCTAAGACGGAAAACTATTTCCACAGACCAACACATGGTTCTTTTTTATATCATAACTACGTTATCTATTTGTCTTGAACTGTTTTCAAGAGCGAAAACTGTTCTTATAATTGGGTTGTCGAAAAAGAACTTACACCCTGTTGATATAGATAGTGATTACCTAACTGTTTGAAACCAACGGGGTGCAGGAAGAAAGAAGGAGAACGCTGCAAGTTTTTGTCATTTATTGGCCAAAACTCTCCCCCGTGATTCAAATCATGCATTATATTATTATATGAATCTGTTCCTCACTTTTTGTTTTTCTAATTCTTAATCCCAACTCAAATTCTCTCCCCGATGATCCTTTTCTCGATAAAGAATTTGCCCCGAATTTAAAGATTTGAGCCTTTTGCCAAAAAGTTCATCTCTCCATTCATATAAAAATGGAGTACTGAAAATCCGAGCTCACTGTCACTCCCTCCCATGGCGTCCCCTTTCAGACCGCCATTGTTGATATCCTTAGCCTTTGCTTTCTTCCTTTTGGGTTCTTCTTCGTCTGAGGAATCGACCCTTTTGGCCTTCAAATCTTCCATTGATGATTTGACGAACACCCTCTCGAACTGGGTTTCTTCTTCTTCTTCTTCTTCTTCTTCGCCGATCCATTTCTGTAACTGGACTGGGATTTCTTGTGTGAGTTCGTCATCGCCTTCTTCGCTTTCGGTTTCCGCCATTAATCTTCAGGGTTTGAATCTCTCCGGCGAAATTTCATCTTCCATTTGTGAGCTCCCTCGTTTGGTTCATCTTAATCTTGCGGATAATCAGTTCAATCAGCCGATTCCTCTTCATCTCTCGCAGTGCACCTCGTTGGAGAGTTTGAATCTGAGTAACAATCTCATTTGGGGGACGATCCCCGATCAGATTTCTCTGTTTCGTTCTTTGATTGTTCTTGATTTTGCGAAGAATCATATCGAGGGGAAAATCCCTGAGGGCATTGGGGCTTTGAAGAATCTTCAAGTTCTGAATCTAAGAAGCAACTTGATTTCTGGTAGAGTTCCTTCTGTTATCTTTCATAATCTTACTGAACTTACTGTTCTTGATTTGTCTGAAAATTCTTATCTGATGAGTGATATTCCTAATGAGATTGGGAAGCTTGTGAAGCTTCAAGAGCTATGGCTTCAAAGCTCTGGTTTCCATGGCGAAATCCCTTCTTCTTTGTTGGATTTGAGTAGTTTATCTGTTTTAGATCTTTCTCAGAACAATCTCACTGGAAAACTTCCTGACATGATGGGTTCTTCTCTGAATAATTTGGTGTTCTTTGATGTTTCTTTGAATAAGCTCATGGGATCTTTCCCAGATGGTTTTTGTAGTGGAAAATCTCTTGTGAGTCTTAGTGTTCATACCAATTTTTTCACCGGAACCTTGCCTGATTCCTTGAATAAATGCTTGAATCTTGAGAGATTTGAAGTTCAGAACAATGGGTTTTCAGGGGATTTTCCTAAATCATTATGGTCATTGCCTAAGATTAAGCTCATTAGAGCTGAAAACAATGGTTTCTCTGGTGAAATTCCTGAATCTATATCAATGGCTGCTCATCTTGAGCAAGTTCAGCTTGATAACAATAGTTTTTCGAGTAAGATACCTCGAGGACTCGGGTCGATTCGGAGCTTATACAGATTCTCTGCGTCGCTCAACCTTTTTTATGGTGAATTGCCATTGAACTTCTGTGATTCGCCATTGATGAGTATCATTAATCTGTCCCGTAATTCTCTTTCGGGACGGATTCCCGAGCTGAAGAACTGCAAGAAACTTGTCTCTTTGTCCTTAGCAGGCAATAGTTTTACTGGAGTAATACCTACTTCCCTTGCTGATCTACCTGTATTAACTTATCTTGATCTTTCTGATAACAATCTCACTGGTTCGATCCCTCGAGGACTCGAAAACTTAAAGCTTGCGCTGTTTAACGTTTCGTTCAATCAACTATCGGGTGCTGTTCCGTTCTCTTTGATTTCGGGGCTACCTGCTTCGTTTCTGCAAGGAAATCCTGATCTTTGTGGCCCTGGTTTGCAAACTCCATGTTCTCATGGCCATCCAACAAACCATGTGTCTGGACTTAAGAAAATGACATGTGCTCTCATCTCTATAGCTTGTGTTCTAGGAGTTATGAGCTTAGCTGCTGGTTTCTTTCTGTATTACCGGTCGTTCAAGTCGAAATCCCGTGTCGATAACTGGCACTCGGTCTACTTTTACCCTCTTAGAATCAGTGAACATGAGTTGATCATGGGTATGAATGAGAAAACTGCACAAGGACATGGAGGAGCTTTTGGCCGAGTGTTCGTTTTAAGCTTGCCGAGCCGTGAACTGATTGTCGTTAAGAAACTGGTTAACTTTGGGAGTCGTTCGTGGAAATCGTTGAAAGCCGAGGTCGAGACGTTGGCCAAGATCAGGCACAAGAACATCATCAAAATTCTGGGGTTTTGCTACTCTGATGATGCCATTTTTCTGATCTATGAATTCTTACACAAAAAAAGCTTGGCTGACTTGATTTGCAGAAATGATTCTTGTCTGAATTGGAATGTGAGACTGAGAATCGCCATTGAGGTTGCTCAAGGACTAGCTTACCTTCACAAGGACTGTGTCCCTCATTTACTTCATCGAAACGTCAAATCATCGAACATTCTATTGGATGCTGACTTTGTCCCGAAGCTCACGGATTTCGCTCTTCACCAGATCGTTGGAGAATCGGCATTTCACTCGACTGTGGCTTCGGAATCTGCTCATTCCTGCTATATTGCACCAGGTACGCAAAACTTTATGATCGGGAACTATGGAGTTCGAAAAACTCGATAATCTGAAGAATCAATCAAGTTTCTTTCACGCTCAACCGAACTTACTCGAGTTTATTGAATATGTTGTTAGTATGGCTTATTTCATTCCATCGTTTGGATGCAGAGTATAAATACAACAAAAAAGCGACAGAGCAAATGGATGTGTACAGCTTTGGTGTCGTGTTGCTAGAATTGGTGACCGGGAGACAAGCCGAGCGATCGGAATCGACCGACTCTCTCGATGTTGTCCAGTGGGTTAGAAGGAAGGTGAACATAGCCAATGGAGCTTCCCAAGTCCTGGACCCGAGCGTGTCGGAGCAATCCCAACGAGAGATGCTGGAAGCTCTAGACATTGCCCTTCAATGCACTTCCATGATGCCCGAAAAACGACCATCGATGCTGGAAGTCGCCAAGGCTCTTCAACTGATCGACTCGACGACAAACCTCCACGGCTGCGGAGGATGAATTAGTTTCGAGCTGAAGACACCAATGTTTGTAGGAGAGTTTTTGGTTGAGAGATTGCAATGTTTGGGACATGTGGTATGGTAGTAAATACAAGATTTTGTTCCAAGTTATTTTTAAATTTTTATTTTCAGATAGATGCTTCAATTTTGGTGTAATGTAATTCATTGGGAGTTTAAGAAGAAGCATCTTTCAAGATTTATTTATATATATATATATATATATATTTTTTATAGGATAAACTAGATTCTAGGACGGTTCAATGACTCAGAAAACTGGGACAACTCAACCGATTTGGGTTGGATTTAAAAATTTATAAAGGAATGTTTGACGACATTTTATTTATATATATATATAAAATGAATAAATGATTCGAAAAATTCGAACCAATCCAATAAAAAAATGTAGAGTTGGATTGGATTGGGTTGGGTTTATTCTTGTATTGTTTGAGTTAAAAAAATTTATAATCCGAACAAATGGGTTAGATTAGATTTAAAAATATCTCAATCTAACTCAATCGAACCCACGAACACTTCTACTAAATTTAAATAATAAATCAATATTTGCGTGCACGATCTTATTATAAACAAAAATATTTAAAAAATCCATAAATTATAAGCGGTTTATATAATCACAAATTCATTTATTTTCATAATTCAAGGTCAAATTAGTGCAAATGGGAGTTTTTTAATTAATTAATTAATTTTTTTTAATTTTTAGCAGCCCAATAATTCATCATAAATAAAAATTGCAAATTTATACTTAAATAATAATAAAAAAAGATTTTATGTTTTTTTATTTTATAAATTTTTTATCTGAGAACCTTTAAAAAAACGCTACGTTCTCTTGACCCAATCTAACCTGCCATTGAAATCTGAAACTCAAGAATTTTTTCCCTCTCTCTTCTCCAAACGGATTCACAATCAAAATCTAGAAGTAGTAGAAGAAGAAGGGTTTTTGTTGTTTTCTTTGCCTCGAGGAAATGAATTTGGTATTCTTCTGGAGATGCATAATGTTGAATTTCTTCCCCGAATTTCACGGTTTGAACAGTGAAGAATTATCTTTGTGTTGCAGGAAACTCCGAATGTGGATCTTCCGGCGACGGACAAAGAAGTCGTACCGGAGAAGATTGAAGATGAAGAGATCGACGAGCCTTTGATTCACTGCGAGCTTTGCGATGCGGAACTTGTTCATAAACTCGCTCAGGTTCTCCTTCCTGGATTGTCAACCGCGTGCGTCGATAACACGAGTGGCGATATCTTTCGAACCCCTGGTTCCGTGGCTGCCGAAATGAGGAAAGAAATGGTGGATTATATTACTATGAGGAGCGAAATTTGTGTTGCGGAATCCATAATTTTGGATAATGCTCCGGATGCTGAGGTATCTGATCATCCCTACGATATTATCTCTGATTTTGTTGAGGATTTTGCTGCTACGAAGAGAAATTTGTTTAGTAGAGTTTCGGGATGGGTTCTAAGTGAGAAAAGAGAGGATAGGATTGATGATTTTGTTCAAGAAATGGATGTTAATGGTTTTTGGCCGCTTGATAGGAGAGAAGCAATTGCTCAAGTTCTGCTTAAGAATGTAGATTTTAAGAACGAGTTTCATTGTGACCAGAAATTTCACTCTGTAGAAGAGTTAGCTGAACATGTTGTAAACTGTGGATTTAGGTCTCTAATCTGCACAAATGAAGGCTGCTGTGCTACATTTTGTGCAAACCACGCAGAACAGCATGATTCAATTTGCCCCTTCAAGATAATTCTGTGTGAACAGAAGTGTTCTGCCTTCATTATGAGACGCGAAATGGATCGCCATTGCATAACTGTTTGTCCTATGAAGCTTGTGAACTGCCCCTTCCATAATTTGGGTTGTCAATCCCCTGTTCCTTACAGTTTGATATCGCAGCATTGTTCAGAGAGTTTTGATTCTCATTTGCTGCTTATTCTTCACTCTGTTCACAAGGAGGCAAATGAAGAGACTCTTAAACATAGACGGCAACAGCTTGAAGAGGTGAGATTTACAGATTTGTTTGAATTCATTTATAATTCTTAAATGGGCTTTTATTTTTGCTGAATCAATGGACACCAAAGTGTGCATATATCAAAATGTGAGTTGATATGAAATGTGTTCACTGTCTATTTGAGATCCCACATTAGTTGGGGAGGAGAACGAAACACCATTTATAAGGCTGTGGAAACCTATCCCTAACAGACACGTTTTAAAAACTTTGAGGGGAAGTCCGAAAGAGAAAACCCGAAGAGGACAATATTTGTTATCGGTGGGCTTGGGATGTTACAAATGGTATCAGAGCCAGACATTATTGGGCGATGTGCCAGCGAGGAGTCTGAGCCTTGAAGGGGTGGATTGGGGTCCCACATTGATTGGAGAAGGGAACGAGTGTCAGCGAGAACACTGGGCCCTAAAGGGGGGTGGATCGTGAGATCCCACATCGGTTGGAGAGGAAAACGAAACACCATTTATAAGGGTGTGAAAACCTCTCCCTAGTAGACGCATTTCAGGGGTAGCTTGAAAGGGAAAGCCCAAAGAGAACAATATTGGTTAGCGGTGAGCTTGAGATGTTACAATCTATTATTTAACGACTTTTGTCATGCCATATCGAATATATGAAATGATATTCTTTTGCTACTCGAATGTGTAAGCTTGATTTGTTAATTGCTGATTTTTTTGGCTGCCCAAATCTTGGTATAACCTCAGAAATACTATGAATGATGCAAGCATTTCCTATCTATATGGAAAACTGCAAGATAACTGAATGGGTATTATGCTATGAAATTATTTGTTAATCGATGTGATTCATTATTCTGGTGTGGCTTTCTCTGTAATTTTCCACATACTATTTTCAATTTGCATAAGATGTTAGATGAATCATACATGCTTAGGGTAAGAACTACACTAAGCCACCGCGAGTAGATATTGTCTTCTTTGAGCTTTCCCTTCTAAACTAGTTCCTCAAGGTTTTAAAACGCATCCACTAAGGAGAGGTTTCCACACCCTTATAAGGAATGTTTTGTCTCCTCTCCAACCGACGTAGGATCTCACACTTAGAACATCCTGAAATTATGAAATATATAGCTAGTGAGGTTTCTCCCCTTGTCTTTGTTTTCTGGACAAAGGTTAACTAGTTGAGAAGGAAGGGGGATTCAAGCCGTTAAGTTGAGAATAGATTAAGCTGCATTATCATCAATTACTTGTATCTTCTTGTCTATTCTAATTACAGTTCTAATGATTCTTCCCCAGGCATCATCACTTGACTACCTTAGAGGGCTCCAAAATCTGCGATTGTTAACCTCGAAAATCAAAGAACTGGATTCTAAGCTAGGACCATTAGTAGTCATTGGCACGAAGGAGGACACTGAAGAAGCGAAGGACGATGCGTCTAGTAAAACTGATGAAGAGAAGGACAAGTCTAATGCAACGGACGAAAAGAAGGGCGTGCCTAATGCAACAGAAGAAACGAAGGACGACGCATCTATTGTAACAACTGAAGAACCGAACGATGCTTCTAAGGCCTTGGAAGAAACGGAGGATGCTTCTAAGACAACGGAAGAACCGAACGATGCTTCTAAGGCAACGGAAGAAACGAAGAGCGGTTCAAATTAGTAAGAAATGATTCAGATGAAGCTGAAAGATAAAACTTCGACACCATTTGAAATATCTCTCATTTTCAGAAGCAGCCTTGGCTTTGGCAAAGAAGAAGTCCATATTAACATCCACTGGGTCAGTTTCTTTCTCTCCTAGCTCTTTCTTATGCAGTTCTATTCATATTTCCCAGTGCAAGCCAAATGTATGATTATTTGACTCAGATATCGTGTATTCTAGGGACATGCTAACATGAACCTAGCTCAACTGATTAAGAGGTTAACCGTTTACTTTTTCACCTTCATATTTGGTCTATAATATAGCTTCACGTCAACTCTATTATTACTAAGACCTACATGATTTTAAGACATAGTCTCGAGCTATCTCTTTGACGGGTCTCTCTCTCTTAGTAATGTTTTTTTTTTTTTTTAACCCTACAAACAAAGATTTTGAGTTTTATACCCAATCAAATAAAACAAATATGCGCACGGATTTCAAAAGAAAAAAAGAATTAGTGTTATTAGTGTCAATGATGCTACAAGCAGCAGTGGGGGCATATTACATGTAAGCAGAGTAATTGCAAATGAGCCCCTCAAAAAATGAGTAATTAAAATGAGACCCACAAGAAATGAAGAATTTCACAATGGGGCTCTGCACAAGGGGCATGAACTGTTATGGTGAAGCCACTTGAAGATGCATGACTCATGATACACATGCCCGCATTGCATCCTTATCACCTCCTCCCTCTTCTTCCCTTCGCCATTCCCATTTCCGTTCCCATTCAGTTCTTCCAAACAGATACTGCAATCCCCCATCTCTTCCACTTTCTCCGTAACCGGCCGAGCTTCTTCCAGAATCGCCGTCTCCTCCCCCGCTGCATTGTCATAGCTCCATCCCTGGAACAATCCGTGGTTTTCTTCCATCCAGGTGATCAGTCGGATGTAATCGAGCTCCAAGACCGTGTGGAAACTCGTCTCTCTGTTTCCGCCGGCCACTAGGAGGGTGTACGACACGATGCGCTCAGCAATGACTTCGCGTACGGGGGAGCGGACGTTGAGTAAGGACAGCAACTGTGCGACGTAGACCTGGAGGAACACCGGATCATGGAGTTCCTGCAGACGGAGCGGGAACAGAAGATTCCTCAGTAGAATCGGTGCAGTTTCTTGAAGGTACGTAACTCCGGAGAGCGGAGAAACAGAGATCTCACGGCGGAAATAGCGCAGTTGGAGTTGCAGAACTTGATAGGGTTGCTCGCCGGAAGCGGCGGATGTGTAGCCGTAAATACGATACTGGATCGGTCTAGAGGTAACGAAAGACATTCTGAGGATCGAACTGATTGGTAAGTGAGTTTTTGATTGTTGATTGTTGATTGTTGATTGTTGGTTATTGATTTTGATTTCGATTTCGATTTATAAGCTGAGAGGAAGTGTGTTTGATTATGGAAAATTTTAAGAATCGGCCGTTAGAATTACCGATTAGGAAAATTTTCTTCTTCTACTAACTTCGACGAGGTTCAAATTGTGGTTCCAACCTGTGGTCGTTTATGGAAAGTTTTTGATTAATAATGAATATAACAAATTCACTGATTGGTTACTGATTCGTAAGTAATTTTTTCTTTTAATTTTGATTTATAAGGTAAGGGAAACTGTGTTTGATTATGCAAAATTTTCAGAATCGGCCGACTAGGAAATTGTTCTTGCATAATCGGCCGTTGGAATTACCGACTAGGAAATTGTTCTTCTTCTTCTTCTTCCACTGATTACGAAATTCTTCTTCTTCTTTTCTTTCTACAATCGATATGAGATCTCACAATTCACTCCCTTTGCAGCCCAGCGTTGTCGCTGGTACTCGTTCT